TTTAAATTGAACATTTTATCCACAAGTTAAATATCGAATTAAAACTACAAGTTGGGGCCCACGTTTTAAATGGAAAGTTTCATCCACAAGTTAAATATAGAATTAAAACTACAAGTTGGGACCCACATTTAGAACTTTCAGTTAAACGTACAACTAGGCACAGTGTTTAAAACTTTGGTCCCAAATAATATGGCTGGTATTTCATTTATCGGAATGAAGTTGAATATGATTTGAGTAGGCCTATAATCAGAGTGAAGTTGTATGTGATTTGAGTAGGCCTATAATGTTCTGTTTTCCAAGTATGTGTTCGTAACATTTAAATGAGAACATTGAGAGTGACTAGAAACAGTACACGGAATAGTCTTACCCCGACAGTCTTAATAACTGAACAGGTTATAGCGACCACCACTACCAACATTAGCGACCACCACTACCAACATTAGCGACCACCACTACCAACATCAGCGACCACCACTACATACATCAGCGACCACCACTACCAACATCAGCGACCACCACTACCAACATCAGCCACCACCACTACCAACATCAGCGACCACCACTACCAACATCAGCGACCACCACTACACCACTGACGACCATCTGTTTTCACTACTGAGCCGGCCAACATTCAGCGCTAACTTCTAAATTAGGGGAGGGAGGGCTGTGACTTGTTACTAATCATTGATGAGCTTTGGCTAACTTAATTGTCTGCTTTCTCGAACTTTCCTCTCGTGGTCACACGGGAATGGTAATGTTTAGCAGAGTTTCATCCAGGAGCTCATACCCTCTCCCCCCTCCCCGAACCAAATCTATCCCCCCCCCCCGCCCTGTGTAAGTCTAGTCAAGTCTATCCCTCTGTAAGTCTAGCCCTGTGTAAATATTCCTACCCAACACACCGAGTAAATCTACCCCAAGAAAGAAATGCAGGTGTAGAAAAACGTGTGTAAACCTGCTTGCTGCTGCTGATCCATCTCTACCGGATGTGGATTAAATGTCTTCAAGTTTAAAACTTATAGAACACCAATGTCAACAGCATTGTCGTGTATCATGGTGCTCTGGATACATCTTAAAATGTTATTATGTATTATTGGCATGTATGTTAAATTTGTCAGCAGTTTAGTACAGCAACGGTCACCTAGTTAATTTAGCGCTCGCTTCTCGTCCTTCATATCCCCACTACCTTAAGGCTAAATTCATTTTGACTTCATTCAGAGCATAGTTTCTTCCAGGCATCTCTTCGCCCCCCCCCCCCCCACCTGAACGAAATGGAATTAATAATATCAAGAAAATATCCAGTGCTTCCCCCCCCCCCCGGAGAAAAAAGTCTGAAAGAAACACTGATTCAGAGAATAATTTTTGGTGAACATTTAGGAAACAATTTTTTTACCAATATTTAGAAAACAGTTTTTGGCCAATATTTAGAAAACCATTTTTCCCAATATTTTGATACCAATTTTTGGCAATGTTTTCGACTCACTAAAGAAGGCGTTCTGTTCTCGAACACACTGAGTTGAAAGTCCTCCAATAACTAAGGGAAGTAAGTAGTTTAATGCTGTGATAGTGTAAGCTAAAGAATTTAAATAAAGGCACTTTAAGATACTCAGACGCATGATTTACCAAAATATAATGAGCCTCGACCAGGCTTTATTTCAGCCAACAATTCTCTGGTCAAAACACACATTTTCTATTTTCGTTTTAATTCGATCGCGTTTCCGGTATCATTTCAAGGTGTCCTACTTTTTAGAATCGTTTGAATTTTTAAATTTAAGACAACACTTCCCGCCCTGATAGATGACGTCATCAAAATGTGTGCTCATCGGCTAGCGCAACTCTTAAAAGAAAGGAAATGACAATTTGTGTTATGCTATTGACTTAGCGCCAAAAGTCAACGCAACGTGTAAATAACATCCTGGGCTTTTGGCTAACCGTATGTAAAGTTTGTGTCGGTCTAAGTCAACAGGGGGGCCCAGTCAACTGGACTTGATCTTATGCTATCTGTTGTAGGCTGGATTAGGGGGGCTTTAGGTGACTTGGGAACAAGCGTCGGCTAGATGGGGGCGTCTATGGGTTATAGGAGGCGTCTTCAGGTTATAGGAGGCGTCATCAGGTTATAGGAGGCGTCTTAATGTTATAGGAGGCGTCTATGGGTTATAGGAGGCGTCTATGGGTTATAGGAGGCATCTAAAGTTTAAAGAAGTTATTGCTAATGAGATAATAGGCGTCACACAACTATAGGAGTCTCAGACAGACTCGTGAGATAACGTGTCCCATACACAACCAGAGCTTCTTGAAAAAATTTTACCGCCCCCCCCCCCGAACGAAATGAAATTTATATAATTTATATAGAAAATATATACTTTTAACAGTGTCTGCCCCCCCCCCCCCCCCCGAAGAAAGTTTGCCCCCCCCCCCCCCGGAGAAAAAAGTCTGGAAGGAACACTGTACACAACTAAATGACTCATAGGTTAACCCGACAACATGGTTCAAACTTAATCAAAACGAATGGATGAGGGAGTAGTTCTGTCATGTTTTAATGGGCTAAACCACACCAATCTGTATGTATAGAGGGTCTTGCTTTAATATCAACAACACACATACATACACAAGGATAAACAAAACCTAATGGTATGATTGTGTGGGTTATGTTAAAGAAGTTAATTCTAACATAATCGACCCTACAATATGCCACATCTTGACAAGGTAACCATTAGATAACACTAAAACTATGCTCGCTGAGTTTGTGTTGTCTTGGTCTAGTTTTCTCATACTTTCCACCATACTTATTTGATTCACTTCTTGAAGTTTCGTTCAGCCAAATGTCAAGTTTGGATTAACATACCCCTCGTTTGTTTACATTAGAAAACTTTATGTTCCTAAAAATATCTCTTTAAGAATCCCAGGAAAACGTCACAGACCGTACACTGTGACACAAGCGAGGGGAATGTGTCAGTAGAAGATAACAATGGTCGATGTCACAACGTTTTTTTATCCTGAGTCATCGTGTACTGGCATCTAGACCCGTCTTTGTCTGGGGTATCTACAAACCTTCAGGGTTTCAACCCTAATTATCATAAAAAAATTTATCTCAACAAAAAAAAAATTGCAACCCTTTGTAATGTGCATAATTGTATTGTACTAAATTCACTTTATTTTTTTTATTTATCCCCACTTCTACATTATATCATCATCTACATCGATCATCTTATTATTTGATCCACCTGTATTATCACCTTGTATCGCACCTCTGCTGTAGTGCCCCAGCCTCCTGTATCAGCCGTTAGATGGCTCGCTAACCGACATGCTCAAATACACAACTTGAGGTCTCGTCTTTCTCTCACCATTCAGTTGTCGTGTTGCCTCTATCCGCCATATTGTTTCCTGTTACACATTATACAATCATACTAGTTACTTAAAGCGATGGAGAAAAAACTCAGTGATATCTTGAGATACAATTATAATTAGCTACCTAGCGTTGCTCATTCGCCAAATTGCTCGGATCTCAAAACGATTTTCCGCATAGAAAAAAAAATTGAAATGTCATTAATCCGCTTCAGCTCCCAAAATGCCTCCAAGTTATTTTGTAAAGTGCTTAAATAAGAAACGCATTTATAAATAACAATGTGTACATGTTGTATACAAGAGAATGGAAAGCAACCGGTTTATATTTAAGAAACCAGTCGACTTGCACAAGATGCTGGTGGATGAGGAGGGAGAAGCAGTCTCACTTTCTCTCCACACTGTAATGATGATTTACTCTTTCGGTCGCTTTCATTCACCTACTTGTTGCACACTTTATGCTACACTTTATCCCGTAACTTAACGTGACACTTCTCTGAGCCAAATAGAACTTAAATGCCACTGTACAGTTTTATATTACTTTCGCTAAATTGTCATCACTGCTTTCCTTTTTACTGGTCTTTACCTTTTTCACCACGCGTTCTTAAAGTTTCACCTGCGGGCCGTTAAAAAAAAAACCTGTTAAAGAAGGATTGTTTCTACCCCCCTTTAGAATGTTGTGGAAATGAGATAGCCAGGTGTCATTAAACCGTTCCGGTGCACGACTTGTTGCTACTGTTTCAGTGTTTCTCTCCCATGTAATGTGAAACATCCGGTTCCTCTAACTCAAATGTTGCTCACATTTCAAGTAAAACATCACTCGCTGGCGGCTCGCATCTAAAGAAAATCTCGTATGGCGAGGTACAACTGTTAAGATTACACGTTTCTGAACAAAAACACTACACACACCCTCTCACAATATACTTTACACTAGTAGGCCACCATCTTGTCATTTACACTATTGTACAGTCTCTCGTAATTTAATTGATCGAAATATCTCGTAATTTAATTGTAAGATATCTCTCGTAATTTAATTGATCGAAATATCTCGTAATTTAATTGTAAGATATTTCTCGTAATTTAATTGATGGAAATATCTCGTAATTTAATTGTAAAATATCTCTCGTAGTTTAATTGTAAAATATCTCTCGTAATTTAATTGATAGAAATCTCTCGTAAATTCAAATTCTAGCTTAAAGTAACGCTGGCTTTAAAAAAAACTTCTGGCTTTAAAAAACAAACGTTATACCAAAGCTGATGTGTTATCTGTATGGCTGTTATCAGCTTCATTTCAAATTCGTTTTATCAAAGATTTTATCGTGATATCGATCGTTTAAAACATGACGCTATGATACGCTGACAAAGCGCTGTTTGATGATACTGTCTTATTTGTCCGATACTGTATGTCCGTCTTGTTTGTCCGATACTGTATGTCCGTCTTATTTATCCGATACTGTATGTCCGTCTTATTTATCCGTTACTGCATGTCCGTCTTATTTGTCCGATACTGTATGTATGATATTGTATGTCCGCCTTATTTGTCCGATACTGTATGTCCGATACTGTTTGTCCGTCTTATTTGTCCGATATTTCCCTGTATTTACATCCACCACACGTTATCACGCCGGCAACTAAACCAGTTCTCTCTCCTCTCCCCCCAGAACTTGTAGGCCCGCCATCACGACCACAGGAGAGGCCGGTGTCCAGGACAGTCTCTCTAGAGAGTCTCTCACAGCCAGCAGGACAAGGTCATCTGCTTCAACGGTCCTCTACCCCAGCTGGGACCCAGACTACAGACCTACCTGGCCAGTCTGCTACAGAAACACAGACTTTTTCACCTGGCCAGTCTGCCACAGAAACACAGACTTTCTCATCTGAAACACCCGCACATACAGACACACACACATCCACAGACACGCCAGATTTCCATGTCGTCAAAAGGTCTAGGACTAAAGACACGGTAGGATCAAGGCCAAGGTCATGTGATTTTGATGCCCAGCGCAACAAGAGGAGGAAAGATAAGGAAACACGGGGTATGTATGTGTGGTCAATGTGTGTGTGTAGATGTGGGGGGTGTGGTCAGTGTGTGTGTCGATGTGGGGGGTGTGGTCAGTGTGTGTGTGTCGATGTGTGGTGTGTCCTGTCTATGTGTGGTGTGTCTGTCAATGTGTGGTGTCTGGTCGATGTGTGGTGTGTCTTATCAGTGTGTGGTGTGTCCTGTCAATGTGTGGTGTGTACATCAATGTGTGGTGTATGGTAAGTGTGTGGTGTGTCTTGTTAATGTGTGGTGTGTCTAGTCAAGGTTTGTTGTGTCCAGTCGATGATTGGTGCATCTTGTCAATGTCTTCCGTATCATGTTAGTGTGTGTCTTGTAAATGTGTGGATTTTATTTTGTTGTGTGGTAGTTCCTATCAAAGTTTCATGTGTCCAGTCTGTGTGTGGTGTGTCTCGTCTAGGTGTTGTGTGTTAACTAAAATCAACAATCAACACGCCTATTCCCTTAATTTAAAATAAAACTAGCTCTCATTTGTATTTTACACCTCCATACCCCACTTGTATCCAATATGAGCAGGTTTCACACACCTACACACAGATCTACATCATGTATTCCTTACACTAACGTCCAACTTAGAACGGATCATGTATCCAAGTCTTTTATTTCCGCCCCTGTTACCCCAGAGTATAGGGCCTATAGACTATAGAGGCTATGTCAACTCTAGTTGAAGAAGTCTGTATACTCGGGTTACAGTGAGAAAAATGTTCCCTTATATCAACACTCGACAGGGTGTGTTATTTTTTGACAAATGTATAAAAAAAATATGCATTGATAATGTTATGTGACATATGACATCCAATAATACAATTAACGTAGTAGTTTTAGGTGACATCAAATGACAGAGATCCCATGAACCTAGATCTAGTAGAGGACATTTTAAAAGCAGCCTAAAGGACATAATAAGATTATGATATGTGTTAGGGTTCCCCTAAAGCTAACATAGCAGGGTGTCAATATATAAGTGGGGTGTAGGGCCGTAAGGTAATCTAATAGATTCCCCAACACCTGTATCTTATAGATTCCCCAACACCTGTATCTAATAGATTCCCCAACACCTGTATCTTATAGATTCCCCAACACCTGTATCTTATAGATTCCCCAACACCTGTATCTTATAGATTCCCCAACACCTGTATCTTATAGATTCCCCAACACCTGTATCTTATAGATTCCCCAACACCTGTATCTTATAGATTCGCCAACACCTGTATCTTATAGATTCCCCAACACCTGTATCTTATAGATTCCCCAACACCTGTATCTTATAGATTCCCCAACACCTGTATCTTATAGATTCCCCAACACCTGTATCTTATAGATTACCCAACACCTGTATCTTATAGATTCCCCATCACCTGTATCTTACAGATTCCCCAACACCTGTATCTTATAGATTCCCCATCACATGTATCTTACAGATTCCCCATCACCTGTATCTTACAGATTCCCCATCACCTGTATCTTATAGATTCCCCAACACCTGTATCTTACAGATTCCCCAACACCTGTATCTTATAGATTCCCCAACACCTGTATCTTACAGATTCCCCATCACCTGTATCTTATAGATTCCCCAACACCTGTATCTTACAGATTCCCCAACACCTGTATCTTATAGATTCCCCAACACCTGTATCTTATAGATTCCCCAACACCTGTATCTTATAGATTCCCCAACACCTGTATCTTACAGATTCCCCAACACCTGTATCTTACAGATTCCCCAACACCTGTATCTTATAGATTCCCCAACACCTGTATCTTACAGATTCCCCATCACCTGTATCTTATAGATTCCCCAACACCTGTATCTTACAGATTCCCCATCACCTGTATCTTATAGATTCCCCATCACCTGTATCTTATAGATTCCCCAACACCTGTATCTTACAGATTCCCCATCACCTGTATCTTATAGATTCCCCAACACCTGTATCTTACAGATTCCCCATCACCTGTATCTTAAAGATTCCCCATCACCTGTATCTTATAGATTCCCCAACACCTGTATCTTACAGATTCCCCAACACCTGTATCTTATAGATTCCCCAACACCTGTATCTTACAGATTCCCCATCACCTGTATCTTATAGATTCCCCAACACCTGTATCTTACAGATTCCCCAACACCTGTATCTTATAGATTCCCCAACACCTGTATCTTATAGATTCCCCAACACCTGTATCTTACAGATTCCCCAACACCTGTATCTTACAGATTCCCCAACACCTGTATCTTATAGATTCCCCAACACCTGTATCTTACAGATTCCCCATCACCTGTATCTTATAGATTCCCCAACACCTGTATCTTACAGATTCCCCATCACCTGTATCTTATAGATTCCCCATCACCTGTATCTTATAGATTCCCCAACACCTGTATCTTACAGATTCCCCATCACCTGTATCTTATAGATTCCCCAACACCTGTATCTTACAGATTCCCCATCACCTGTATCTTACAGATTCCCCAACACCTGTATCTTAAAGATTCCCCAACACCTGTATCTTACAGATTCCCCAACACCTGTAGATTCCCCAACACCTGTAGATTCCCCAACACCTGTAGATTCCCCAACACATGCATCTTACAAATCGCCCCCAGCTGATTGCCTTACGTGCTTACACGTGACCCAGACAGTGGACACAAATGACCCCTGGCTATTTACATACCCACCGTGTTAAACTAGACCATAGAACAGGACCTGATCCACCTGACCTGTCACTAAGTCAGACCCCCCCCCCCCTCCCCCCTCGCCACACTTCCCTCTGGCTGACTTTAAAAGTACCACACTCCTGAATCAAACATTTGTACCAAAAATATTTTAACAGTTATTTTACAACTACTGTTTATTTTCCCATGTTTTACACTTAAAAAATTTATTTTTACACGCAGATTTTTGTCTACCTAGCTTTATAGATCACACATCACAGGATTGACTTGTTCTGTAACTATTTATCCAAATTTTGTCTTTAACTCGTAACATAAAGCTGAATTACCAACACCAGAAATAATCCTTTGTCTAAGTAGCTAATAAATGTTGTTGTTTATCCTGCAGTAATTTACAAAGAGGCATTTGATGGAGCCAAGAGAGCCGAAGAGTTCAAGTTCAAGGTCAAGTTTGACCAGTTGCTAGTCGACCTGCACCAGGCTATAGAAGAGAAAACTCCAGATGGTCTGACCACAAGCTTTGCCTCCCCCAGCTGTAAGTAGAGGGGATGATCAGCTACTGCAGTCTTCATTACATGGTGTTTTTAAGGATATTTTGCTGTAGTCAATAACTACAATCTTCTTACATCGTATTTTAAATTATCTTTTGCTGTAGTCAGCTACTACAGTCTTTATTACATCGTATTTTATCTTTTGCTGTCTGATACAATCTTAGTCTTCTCTTCATCTTTAATTGCAGGGGGGAATTCCTCCAAAAGAATTAAGTATTCGTGTCAGTATTAGTAGCCATATAGACTATAGATTTGCATGTCTGCCCTGCTTTTCTTTCTGGAATAGCCTGCAGGGCAACAGTTGTTTAAATTTGAAGTTTTCTCTTTTAGATGTGTTGTTGTCTCCAGCAAACAATCTTGAGATTGACAGATTTTGTCTATATGATCGTGTGATCGACAGCTGTTGACTCTATGATCTTGTGTCAATGATTGTGTGATTGACATATCTTGTCCGTGTGATCGTGTGATTGACAGATCTTGTGTCAATGATCTATTGTCGACAGATCTTGACCCTATGATCTTGTGTTGACAGATCTTGTCCCTATGATCTTGTGTCAACAGATCTTGTCCCTATGATCTTGTGTCAACATATCTTGTCCCTATGATCTTGTGTCAACAAGTCTTGTCCGTATGATCTTGTGTCAACAGATCTTGTCCCTATGATCTTGTGTCAACAGATCTTGTCCCTATGATCTATTGTCAACAGATCTTGTCCCTATGATCTTGTGTCAACAGATCTTGTCCCTATGATCTATTGTCAACAGATCTTGTCCCTATGATCTTGTGTCAACAGATCTTGTCCCTATGATCTTGTATCAACAGATCTTGTCCCTATGATCTTGTATCAACAGATCTTGTCCCTATGATCTTGTGTCAACAGATCTTGTCCCTATGATCTTGTGTCAACAGATCTTGTCCCTATGATCTTGTGTCAACAGATCTTGTCCCTATGATCTTGTGTCAACAGATCTTGTCCCTATGATCTTGTGTCAACATATCTTGTCCCTATGATCTTGTGTCAACAGATCTTGTCCCTATGATCTTGTATCAACAGATCTTGTCCCTATGATCTTGTATCAACAGATCTTGTCCCTATGATCTTGTGTCAACAGATCTTGTCCCTATGATCTTGTGTCAACAGATCTTGTCCCTATGATCTTGTGTCAACAGATCTTGTCCCTATGATCTTGTGTTGATAGATCTTGTACCTATGATCTTGTGTTGACAGATCTTGTCCCTATGATCTTGTGTTGACAGATCTTGTCCCTATGATTTTGTATCAACAGATCTTGTCCCTATGATCTTGTGTTGATAGATCTTGTACCTATGATCTTGTGTTGACAGATCTTGTCCCTATGATCTTGTGTCAACAGATCTTGTCCCTATGATCTTGTATCAACAGATCTTGTCCCTATGATCTTGTGTTGATAGATCTTGTACCTATGATCTTGTGTTGACAGATCTTGTCCCTATGATCTTGTGTCAACAGATCTTGTCCCTATGATCTTGTGTCAACAGATCTTGTCCCTATGATCTTGTGTCAACAGATCTTGTCCCTATGATCTTGTGTCAACATATCTTGTCCCTATGATCTTGTGTCAACAGATCTTGTCCCTATGATCTTGTGTCAACAGATCTTGTCCCTATGATCTTGTGTTGATAGATCTTGTACCTATGATCTTGTGTTGACAGATCTTGTCCCTATGATCTTGTGTCAACAGATCTTGTCCCTATGATCTTGTGTCAACAGATCTTGTCCCTATGATCTTGTGTCAACAGATCTTGTCCCTATGATCTTGTGTCAACAGATCTTGTCCCTATGATCTTGTGTCAACAGATCTTGTCCCTATGATCTTGTATCAACAGATCTTGTCCCTATGATCTACTTACTATTACAAACCTTTCAACTTTTCCCTAATTGTCAAATTCTTCTGCCTTAATATTTATGCTAGTCAGTCATCAAGAGCTGTCATCTGTCATCAACTGCTGTAATCTGTCTGTCAGCTCTGTATTGTTAAATTCCTCTGGCAGCTGGCTTGTTGGCATCCAACATTTTGTCCAACATTCCCCCCCCCCTCTCCCCTAGTTATCTGCTTGATGTAAGCCATCTGGTAACTTGTTCTATAAAGTGATCACTTTATTTTATGTGATGTGGTTTGTATGAAATGTGATAGTTTGTCGATGTGACATTCTCTATGTATCTCTTTAGATGGAGAGGTGATGCTGACATTTAGAGAGAAGGTCAAGGATATTCTTCATGGATACACTCAGAGGCTAGCACTCGCATATGAGAGTAAGTTGTCATGTAATCTTTGAACTTGTACTGTTAGGTCATGTAACCTTTGAACTTTTACTGTTAGGTCACATAACCTTTGAACTTGTACTGTTAGGTCACATAACCTTTGAACTTGTACTGTTAGGTCATGTAACCTTTGAACTTGTACTGTTAGGTCACATAACCTTTGAACTTGTACTGTTAGGTTACATAACCTTTGAACTTGTACTGTTACGTCACATAACCTTTGAACTTGTGTGTTAGGTCGCATAACCTTTGAACTAGTAGTGTTAGGTCACATAAGCTTTGAACTTGTATGTACCATCAGTTTTATTTGTGTGAAAGACTATTTATACTGCTACAGGACATTACCCCCCTGGACATTTCCCCCCCCCCGTATTCCCCCTCCATCCCGGAGCTTTCCCCCCCCCTCCCATTATCCAAAATAGAATCCTGATTCTAACTCCAACTCTGCACCTATATATTACCTTAATCCTAACCTTAAGACAAAAACAAAAAACGAAAAATTACTCCGGGGGTTATGATGAGGGGAAGGGGAAACATACGGGGGGGGGGGGGAGGGGGGGGGGGGGTAATGCCCTGTTCCCATTTATACACATCTCATTATATTGGATACCTATATTTGTAATATAGCTATTAAAGCTGACCTTTAAACTGCCAATTAATCACTTACAAGCTAATGGGGTAATTAAGAGATGCACAGGGACAGTTTGTATGACTATGAGGGGTCCAGTTTGATGGCTACTAGAGTATGTGTGTATCTATGATGTAGGTAGTTCAGTTTACTTTTTTTTCTAAGGTTTTGTATCAGACGAAGTAGATGACAACACAGTTCAAAAGGTCAAACAGGATGCGTCTAAGTTCATTGAAGATCTTATTGGTGAAAGTTTAGATCTGGTAATTATTTTTACAACTTATTGCACCTGATTCAAATAAATTAACCTAAATAATCTTAACTCTAACCATATTGTACCCTAAGCTTTTACTTGTGTGAAATGTTTGTAGTTTAACCAATTGAAACTATTGCAGACATCAGATGAGGCTTTCTCTGACCTCTCCTCCTTGTCTGATGAATCCACACAAGACCAAAACTCATTTGAAGATCTCCTAGCACAGGCGGTTGTATCCAAGGTTCGCATTTTTATTTTTTGCTTAAAAATCATACATCAACAGTTTTAAGGAGAAACTACTTTGTTAAATTAACATACACTAGCCATCGGTACCTGCAATTATAGGCCTATATAATTTAAATGTTAAACTTTTTTGAGAAATATCTTTTATAAAATAGTTGGTCAAAAATCAATGTGTTTACTTCACGTTGAACACTATTAGTGACAAAGCAAAGAAATAACTAAATAGCTAAAAATCCTACACATTAAAAATAACATAGGCTTCTAATACCTTTATACATTATTAGTCACCACAGCACAATATTAAATTGCCCACACTGATTACGAGACTTAAATTACTCTGTTTAAAACCTGGCTATTCAATTGTATTTTGTTGTTCTTTAAACTAATTATTATTATTTTAGGTCGAGAAAAATTGTATGAACTTCGTAGCATAAGTAGATCTATAGATCTAAATCAAATTTGAATGAAATAGTTCATTTCTTCATATTCTAAAATTGGAAAATGTGGGAAGTAAATCTTATTGAAGATGGCATCTTTAGAATTGTTAATCATTTACAACATTCGACATGTGATGTCATTGTTTTTGGGTTCTTGTCACAACCATAAACACTTTTCTTGTGGCATAATAAAAAATGTGTATCTACATTTGAATATGCTTTTATTTTCATTTTCCTTCTTTAAATAAATTTTAATTTATACTTTAATACATCCAACATATTATTTTCAACAAAAATCTGTATCATTATGTTCTCCATACATCGCTGAAGGTACTGATCTCATAGCCTCAGAAAATATTTTGCAGACAGAGAGAGAAATGCACACATGGTCCTTTATATATTAGGATTTCATCATATTTTTCTAAATAGATTATTATTTGTTGCTTTCTAAGTTTATAGGATTATTGTTCAAATATAAATATAGTATTATCTTTTCTTAAAACTGTTATTGTTTTTCAAATTCTTTCAGTTATTGGAAAACCACAGGAAAGAAGTAAGCAAAGTTTTAAACTCATCCAAACAAGATCAGCTCCTACACCAGAAGACAACAGAGCACAACTTTAAACAGCGGCTGAAACCAGAGAGTGATGTAACACAGGAACCTACAGACAGACAAACTCACACCACACATCTCCAAACAGTCACTGACAGTAAAGAATATTTCACCAAGAAATCTGAGCTTATCCCTGATCATTCTAGTGATGAGGATGTTAAAGACACAAAAAATGTGAAAAATAATTCAGAGAATAACAACGGGATTATTCACAATGGATTAAGTGAAGATTATGTGGATAACGATTACCCTGTAATTAGTGAAAATGATGTTGAGAAAGACTTTGAAGAATTAAAAGAATTTGTGAAGAAAACTCAGAGTTCGCGGCCCAAACTTGAGGCCAGAGAGTTTGATGACTCGCGGCTGTGTGAGGTGCTGGAGGAGCCGCTGTCAAAGTCTGTCATTGACAGGGATGAGGAGAGGGAGAACTTCCATGCCAGGACTTCCCTCTTTGACAGGATCCACAACTCTGGCGTCTCGCTGCCAGACTTCTCACAGTTTGACAACATAGACTTTACATCCAATGAACTTGACCCTGACCTACTCTCCATGAATTTAGCAATTATTCCCGAGGAGACAGAGGAGGAGTTGGAGGATGAGGAGAGGAAGTTGAGAGCCAACTGGATATTTATGGTGAGATATAACAAATTAATATATAAAAGTAATGAAAGAATTTGAGAGTCAACTAGATATTTATGGTGAGTAATGAAGGAAGTTGAGAGCCAACTGGTTATTTATGGTGAGTAATGAATGAAGTTGAGAGCCAACTGGATATTTATGGTGAGATATAACAAATTAATATAGAAAAGTAATGAAAGAATTTGAGAGCCAACTGGATATTTATAATGAGATATAACAAATTAATATAGAAAAGTAATGAAAGAATTTGAGAGCCAACTGGATATTTATAATGAGATATAACAAATTAATATAGAAAAGTAATGAAAGAAGTTGAGAGCCAACTGGATATTTATGGTGTGATATAACAAATTAATATAGTAAAGTAATGAAGGAAGTTGAGAGCCAACTGGATATTTATGGTGAGATATAACAAATTAATATCTTAAGGGAGGATAAGAAGTGTTTTAGAAACTGTTTTAATAAATTGTAATACGAATTGATTAAAATACTCTATGTTGACGGAGTTCAGACAAGATTTTGGAAACATTGTAGTTTACGAAAAAATTCAACTGCAATCTAGAGGGGGGTTGTAGGCTGAGGTGTGAAGTCATTTTAGGGGGATAGGGTCTGGCTTTTTGTGACGATGTGTGTCTGTGAGGTGGGGGGTGAAAATTGTCAAAAAAAGCGTGATGTCATTTATGGAAGACTCCTTAAGAGAGGATAAAAAAGTAATGACTATCCTAAGCGAGGATGAATACATAGATTGTAGCAAAACTGATAATTTGTAATTGTACAAATAAAAATAATAGAGAAAACTGTGTTAAACTAATATCTCTTACTGTCATAAACTGTTTCTAGACAAAGTTACTTGTATGATTCTCTTCTGAGTAAAATGAAAATTTATTTTAAAATGGTGAATTGCTTGATCACACTTCATATCTTTTCCTCAAAAAGTTCATGTAAATAAATTTACCAAATAGTTGTTCTAAACTTGAGTCACTAAATTATCAACAGGACAAGAGTGGTCTCCCATCACAAAAAGTTGTCCACAAAAAGTTGAGCTCAGACACAGATGGCCCGCGCTACATGATGGTACCCCCACCTCTTGCTGGCTATACACCAAAGATAGGGAACAGGTTTGTGGCTATTAACTGTTTGTATTAGGTTTGAGTGGTCTCAATTGAAAAGTTGATTCAAATATTCAACATTTTTAACATTGGCACTGTTGATGTTAAATTTACTGTCTTATTAGATTTATTTATTCATATGATTTATTAAGTGTATTATAAATCATCTTTTCCTGATCGTGCACAAGATACATGGGGAAAATGTGGTAGAGCTTATCTGTTTCAATGACCTCACTATACAGAAGGATAGTGTAGTCAGCACTATGCCCAGCCATCTTATTTTCCCTAACATGTGTTAGAGCTGCAGACCTGCAGTTAAAACAGCCATGAGCTCTACCATCTGATCATGCCTTCTGTGTATTATAAAAAGTGCCATCTCTAAGTGTAGACAGCATCAAGGGACATCACTAAGTTTGCTGTAGCCCCTAATAAAAGATATTTGTGTTACAGAGACATTGACCAGTTGAGTGATTTCACTGACCCATAGCCCATAATAAAAGATATTTGTGTTACAGAGACATTGACCAGTTGAGTGATTTCACTGACCCATAGCCCATAATAAAAGATATTTGTGTTACAGAGACATTGACCAACTGAGTGATTTCACTGACCCATAGCCCATAATAAAAGATATTTGTGTTACAGAGACATTGACCAGTTGAGTGATTTCACTGACCCATAGCCCATAATAAAAGCTATTTGTGTTACAGAGACATTGACCAGTTGAGTGATTTCACTGACCACTATCTGCTCAGTCCATAGCCCATAATAAAAGCTATTTGTGTTACAGAGACATTGACCAACTGAGTGATTTCACTGACCCATAGCCCATAATAAAAGATATTTGTGTTACAGAGACATTGACCAGTTGAGTGATTTCACTGACCCATAGCCCATAATAAAAGCTATTTGTGTTACAGAGACATTGACCAGTTGAGTGATTTCACTGACCACGATCTGCTAAGTCCAACAGACGGGTCAGATGATGAAGATGAAAACACTTTCTACGCCAACACCTCAAAGGAGTTGGCCAGAATCTCAGCCCAGCGCAACCCCCCACCCCACAAAACCTCAGCCCAGCGCAACCCCCCAGCCCACAAGTACAGGAACTCCTCCTACCACAGTGATGATACAGACTACGATGCCAGATCTGCCAGGCGGAAACCACTGGGGTTATATGATAGGAATTCTTTAGGTACTTTTAGATGCAAGTAAAGATAGGAATTCTTTAGGTACTTTTAGATACAAGTAAAGATAGGAATTCTTTAGGTACTTTTAGATGCAAGTAAAGATAGGAATTCTTTAGGTACTTTTAGATACAAGTAAAGATAGGAATTCTTTAGGTACTTTTAGATGCAAGTAAAGATAGGAATTCTTTAGGTACTTTTAGATGCAAGTAAAGATAGGAATTCTTTAGGTACTTTTAGATACAAGTAAAGATAGGAATTCTTTAGGTACTTTTAGATGCAAGTAAAGATAGGAATTCTTTAGGTACTTTTAGATGCAAGTAAAGATAGGAATTCTTTAGGTACTTTTAGATGCAAGTAAAGATAGGAATTCTTTAGGTACTTTTAGATGCAAGTAAAGATAGGAATTCTTTAGGTACTTTTAGATGCAAGTAAAGATAGGAATTCTTTAGGTACTTTTAGATGCAAGTAAAGATAGGAATTCTTTAGGTACTTTTAGATGCAAGTAAAGATAGGAATTCTTTAGGTACTTTTAGATGCAAGTAATGATAGGAATTCTTTAGGTACTTTTAGATGCAAGTAATGATAGGAATTCTTTAGGTACTTTTAGATGCAAGTAATGATAGGAATTCTTTAGGTACTTTTAGATGCAAGTAATGATAGGAATTCTTTAGGTACTTTTAGATGCAAGTAATGATAGGAATTCTTAAGGTACTTTTAGATGCAAGTAATGATAGGAATTCTTAAGGTACTTTTAGATGCACTTAAAGATAGGAATTCTTTAGGTACTTTTAGATGCAAGTAATGATAGGAATTCTTTAGGTACTTTTAGATGCAAGTAATGATGAAACCACTCCAATTATCTGATTGTAATAAACTCAGTAGTTATCAGTCAGCTAGGCATATTTACAAATGTTTTCAAACCTGGTACCTAACCATAGACGATAATAAGGGCAGATAATTTTCATTTAGAGTTACTGATTGGCTATCATAGCAAATATTATTAGTTGTGTTTACAGTCAAGATCATTAATTAAGAATAAACTAAATGCAGAGCATAAATATGGCACTAATTTGTTTTCTTTAAAACTTAAATATCGACCTACTATTTTATTTTTAAATTCATAGTTACTAAAAAGTAGAAAATGTATTTTTTTTTTTTTAGAATGTACTCAAAAAAGAAAACAGGTTTTTCTTTAGATCCATAAGTAAAAGAAGGCTGCTCAAAATAGTTCTTCTACTCATTTAATTTAAAATTGAATTTGATATAATTTATAGACCACAATTTTATTTACAATCTTCGTGTAATTTGTACACTACAATTCTACTTGAAAATGAACTTTCTATAATTTGTAGACTACAATGAGGACTATGGAGAGGACATGAGCCACATATCTGGCCCTATAGTCGAGCCTACCAAGCAGGAAATCAAATTACTTGAAAACCTGGATGCTGCCAAAGATGACGACCCCAAGTTCTTAGTTCCACCAGAAAGTGTTGTGGTTCAGGAGGGAGAACCAGTGAAGTTTTCTTGTAGAGTTGGAGGGACTTCTCCTATTGGTAAGTGGGTTAGAGGAGGTCACCCTCCCATTTGTGAGTCAGGGGGAGGTCACCCTCCAATTGGTGAGTCAGGGGAGGCTACTCTCCAAATGGTGAGTCAGGGGAGGCTACTGTCCAAATGGTGAGTCAGGGGAGGCTACTGTCCAAATGGTGAGTCAGGGGAGGCTACTGTCCAAATGGTGAGTGGGTTAGGGGAGGTCACTCACAATGTTGGGTAGGTTAGGGGAGGTCACTCTTCCATTTGTGAGTCAGGGAAGGTCATCCTCTTATTGGTGGGTTAGGGGAGGTCAATCTACCATTGGTGAGTCAGTTGGATCAATTGCTAGTGCATATTGATACCTAGGCCTACAGTAATTGCAAAATTAAATATTACTTTATAGTTAAATATTTTAAAATATCTGTAATTCTTTCTAAGATCTTCATTTCAAAGGGGAAAAAATATTCAAATGTTGTTCATTGTTGTTCTTCATCATGAGTGTGCATCATTGAGATGAAATTGTTTGATGGTTTTCTTCCTCAGATGTGTTCTGGTACAGAGAGGGGGATGAAATGGAGGAACTGGAAGAGTCTGAAGATGTGGAGATGTCCACCACAGGGGACAGACACAGCATCACACTCTACAACATCAGCAAGAGCATGGCTGGGCAGTACATGTGTATGGCCATCAATGAAGTAGACAAGGCTATTCAGTACCTTGTGGTCACAGTTAAAGGTCAGGGTCAAAGACTTTGTTTTTTTTCTTGATGAATAATTTCATATAATATACCTTGTATTAAGATTTAGTTTTCTTTCAGCATTGAAATGTAAAAAAAAAACAATTTAATGTACAATTGTACAAATTTTGTACAAGTCAACAAAAAAACATTTCTTGTACATCATCTACAGACAACAAGCAGGAGCTGAAAAAACCAGAGTTTATAAAAGGATTAAAAGATGTGGAGGTAACAGAAGGTCAAAGTGTTAAATTTAGGGTCAAGGTCAAAGGTTATCCACCACCCCGGATCAGCTGGTATAAAGATAATGCTCTCCTGAAAAACTCAAAAGCTTGCCGGATAGGTAATATTGACTTTAAATATATCACATTTAACAAGCTCTTCATAATTTTTTTACAATAGCACTCACAATTTTTTCTTCATTCCTTTGATATTTAATTGTTTACTTTTATTAACTTCAATGTTTCATTTTTTTTCCCTCTACTTAGTTTTATCAATTGTACAATCCAGTTTATTAATAGTTAAAAAATTAAATTTATGAGATGTTCCCCAAAACAACAACAGTTAATTTTATATTTAATGAAACAAAATTTTCTTGCTCCAGAGAAATTTGGCAACCGCGACTATATTTTAACAATTGACTACGCCAGCATGGATGATGATGCGGAGTACACGGTGTCAGCACGTAATGTGGCAGGGGAGGTCAAGATGTCCGCTCAGGTCATCGTGGAACCCCAGTCAGGTGAGGCCTGGCTCGGTGCCGGCAGTGTGACAAGTTTGTCACAAGTTTTTATCATAGATTTTTGTTCTATCAATTTTCTTTGTTATATTTGATGCCAAGGTTATGTCAAGCATAAACTTTTTTTTATCTTTGGTGCAAAGTTTGTGACAAGTTTTGTTATATTTATATGTTGTATTTTATGCACAAGTTTTTGTCATAATTGTTGTATTTGGTGCCATGATTGTGAAAAAGAAATTAGTATAATAGTTTGTTAAAGTTGGTGCTAAGTTAAGGGCAAGTTTTTTGTCATATTTAATTACATGGTTTTATATGTTGGTTATGTTTTGTATCAATTGTTTGATAATTTTTATTACATTTTTGGTGATTTTGCGTTTTGTGTACTTAAATTTAACTGCTACATAAAGTTCTATGTTTTTTGCTAATAAACAAATTAACATACTCCTCATGTAAAATAATTCTGTGTTTAACGCCTATGCTGCCCAAGCTGTAAACCCATCTAACCAATGTCCTGATTTCCCTGGCTTAGATCAACCAATCAGACGACAGCGCCACTCATCAGTCACAACCTCTGGAGCGTCTGACTCCGATTCTGACCGCACCTCACTTTATAAACCTAACGGTACTCACTCACCCAGCGCACGTCTGTCTCCCCTGACAACCAGACCTGTGCCACAGAGAGACAACCACCTTAGAGACAACCACCTTAGAGACAACCACCTTAGAGACAACCACCTTAGAGACAACCACCTTAGAGACAACCACATCAGAAACCTGGACAGAAAAGTCGCAGCCACGCAGCAAAAAGTTGAGCAGGAGAAGATAAAAATGGTGAAGGATGATCAAAGGGTAGGTTCTGCTGATTATGGAATTGTTTCAACTTTTCTTTGAGCTTCTGTTTTTTTTTAATCAAGATTCTTTCAGGATTTTTATTTGGAGGTTTCTTATTATAGTTGACTTACTGTACACTTATTGTAGTGTATCAAAGCTTGTATTAAATTTAATTTCTGTTGCCTTTCTTTATGTAATTAATTTCTAAGCACAACCCTGAGCCAGCCAGATACAGTGTGGCAGCTAAGCTAGCAGCAGCTATTTGGTTGCAGTGCAGCTAAGCTAGCAGCAGCTATTTGGTTGCAGTGCAGCTAAGCTAGCAGCAGCTATTTGGTTGTAGTGCAGCTAAGCTAGCAGCAGCTATTTGGTTGCAGTGCAGCTAAGCTAGCTGTCTAAAATATCATTGTTTAGAAGTTTCAAACTTCTGAACAATTATAGTTACAGAAAAGAAGAACATTTAACAAACAAAACAAGTTTTAAAGTTGTTTTGTTTTTATGTGTTATTTTTTCTGTAATTTTTCCTAAAAACTTTAATTTTTGCTGTGGCACTCAACTTTTAGATGATCTCTAAATCACTACAGCTGAAATAATGTGACTTAACAAAGTAGTTGTAGCAACAACTAACAGTGTCAGCCCTTCTTTTAATGTAGTAAACAAATTGAATGTTTCCCCTTTTTTTTATAACCCAACACAATTGTCCTGTTTGGTGTCTTGTCATTTGTCAATTTATGGTTTGGTGTCATGCCAGCTGTCATGTCATGGCATTTGTCATGTAATATCATTGTCATGTCTTGCCATGTGTCATGTCTTGCCACTTGTCATGTCGCTAACAGTTCCATGCAATGACACACACTCTGGAGACTGTAGAGAAGAAGCTCAACTCTCTAGAGACTTACCTCCCTTACTTGTCTATGTTTGGCAAAGATTTCTTTGAACTCTCCCATATCATGTGGCCAGATTTCAGTGGTGTGGTAGGTAGTTCCCATCTCTCAGCATGACATCTAACAAAGCTTATCAAACCTCTACAGAAACACATTTCTGTATAACACTTGCAATTATTCAAATTATCAACTTTAAATACTTGCTATCCTATCTGTATATTTATCTCTAAATTTGTACATTCCAACATTTTGTTTCTGTTATTACTAAGATAAAACTTTCTAAAACAGCATGTACCATTTTAGATAACTGGTATACCCTTGTTTCCTTAGTTATCTCCCTTCTGTAGTGTTTACCATTATCTGCCATGTTTTTATACTTCTTTTTTTTTTAATTAATTATTTTGTAGTATAATGTGTGTAGAGGAAATTCAGTGAACAATTATTATTTTTATTAAGTTTAGACAAAAGTCATTACAAAAAAAATTTGATTAGAATTTTTTTTTTAAATTAAGTTTAGAAGAAAATCATAACAAAAACTAGAAAAAAAGTTGTTTTATTTTAAACTTAGTTTACATTCAATAATGTACTGGTTGAATATTTATGCAAATTGTATCTTATTTCTACACTTTCATAAACATACTGACAAACATAATACTATTTAATAATATTATTAAAACAGTATATTCCAATGACAGTGAAACAATGTATATATATAATATAATACATAACTCATCACAAACTTTATAACTTCATCTACCGTTTCATAAATTTCTGATTGTATCATGAATTATTTCCATAATATTTATGCCACCATGCCTGAAGCTTATCTGTAATGCTAAACTTTATTCCACTCCCAACTTCTTTATATTTTCTCTCTCTTCAAACTTATCTGTGTTCAGGGTATAAATGAGCAAAGCTTAGCTCTTCTTTCTAATAATAAATTTTATGTGCAGTTAAAAATAGACAATTTTTATCTAATGTCAAAAGTTATTTCTATATAAAAAAATATTTCTTAAGCCCTTATCAAATGCTACATTGTAGTCTCTTCTATGTAGTAGCTACTTTAATTATTTTTTTCAACTTTACTTTAGTTTGTTGAAAATATTTTATAACTATGTCTTTTGTTTCATGTAGCATATTTTCATAGTTTAAAAATCTACCTACTACTTGTTTTAAAGAATTTAAAAATTTTGTAGTTTAACTATTGATACATTTAGATATTATAATTTTTATTTTGTGTTTCTTTTATTATTTTAAAATGCAGGATATTTGAGCCGTATAAAATTTGATATTGTCTGTTTGCAGACCGAGGCGCCAGAAAACAAGAGGCTGATGTCATCAGCAGCTCTAGAGATTCTACAGACAGCAGAGGAGATCATACAGCAAGAACAGGATGCGTCTGCTGTGGACAGGAAGTCTGGTGCTGACATGGCGTCTGGCGCTGACATCTCATTAGGTGCAGATCTGACATCTGCTGTGGACACAGCTTCTGATGTTGATATGACATCTGGTGTTGAGGTGACATCAGATGCTGACACGACGTCTGCTATGGACAACTTGTCCACCACCACCAGTGCCACCAAACACACGTCACCTTTGACCTTTGCGTCACCTTTGACCTTTGCATCTAACCCAGAACTAGAACTAGCAGACTTGAGCCTGCCAGACCAACTGGATGAGTTTAATTTCTCCGGCCAAGAAACCTACAAGCCAGCGCCGGTCAAATCAACGTTTGAACTCACTCTCCCAAACAGGGGCAGCCACTCTAAACCTGATTCAAAGAAAACAGGGCCGTCACAGACAGCAAAAACTGAACCTGTCAGCCTAACCAAACTGTCCAACAGCCATGAAAGTAAAAACATTGCCGTCAACAGAAACATATCCCCTCTTGATATCAATCAAAATGACAAATACAAAAATAATTCATTGACTGAAGGGACGTCACTCCAAGCTACCTCTCCAACTCTTGCAGACAGTGAGCACTACCGTGGTTATGAAGATAGAGATTTATCTCTAGACCAACTACGGCCTGCTAGACCTACACCGGGGCAATACGCCAGAGACTTTGAAGTTCCGGTTCCTGTTGAGAGAAAAAAATGGTCGGTAACTTTAGATCCATTTTCCCCATCAGCGGATATCGTCAACAAAAGTAACATTGAGATAGGCAACAAACAAGGTGCCCTAGGCCAGGTAATATTAAGCCAGTTTTTATATTAGTTTAATTTCCTTGACGTTAATGAGATTTATTTCCTTGATCAAAATTTTAAAGAATTTGTGTTCCTGTTTATATAATTCAAAGTAAGTAATAAATAAAACTTAATGAAATAATTTTCTTTTGGAAGTCGTAAAGGCAGAATATTCATTTTTACTAAGCCAAAACCCACCCAACCACACATAAAACCCACCCACCCACACATAAACCCACCCAACCACACATAAAACCCACGCACCCACACATAAAACCCACCCACCCACACATAAAACCCACCCCAACCACACATAAAACCCACCCAACCACACATAAAACCCACCCACCCACACATAAAACCCACCCACCCACACATAAAACCCACCCAACCACACAAAACCCACCCAACCACACAAAACCCACCACACATAAAACCCACCCACCCACACATAAAACCCACCCAACCACACAAAACCCACCCAACCACACAAAACCCACCACACATAAAACCCACCCACCCACACATAAAACCCACCCAACCACACAAAACCCACCCAACCACACAAAACCCACCACACATAAAACCCACCCACCCACACATAAAACCCACCCAACCACACATAAAACCCACCCAACCACACATAAAACCCACCCAACCCCACCATTTCATGCCATGACTGTATCACCAGACCCCTGCCATAGAAGTCAGGGACATGGACCTGAGCCCCACAAACTCCTTGCGCTCGTCTAAAGACGACCAATCCATGAGCCCCACAAACTCCTTGCGTTCATCTAAGGGCAGCCACTCCAGCCAGTCATCACCCAGGCAGTCCATAGACTCGGGCGTGTCCGTCAGCTCCAAGCTGGAGCGCCCGGCTCCTGTCCACATGGTGGGCCACACCAGTGAAGACGAGGTGCCAGAGAGCCGTACAGAGTTCAACACTGACGGCTCCATAGAGCTGCCCTCAGTCAACAAGCTGCGAGCCATGTTCTCCAACATCAAAGATGACGACCTGGGTGACGGATCCTTTAAAAGGGTAGGTCTAAACTACGAGCGTTACCGTAGTTTTTCTCATACCCACATGCAATATAATCTAGACATGGTCACATGGTGTTTGTCGTCAGCCTCATCCCAGAGCTTTTCATTAATTTGATTTCATGCATTCATTAGACAAAAATAATTAGATTTTAGGGGATTTAGATTTGTTGGTTGGTTAATAAAGACATATATCCCATAGTTGGTGGTAATGAGGACATATATCCCGTAGTTGTTAGGGACATTTGTAGTTCTGGTAAAGATTGGTATAATCATATATTCTGTAGTTTAGAAGAAGACAGATAGCTTGTGGTTTGGGCAACCTAAATAATCAAGTCCTTTTCTAATTAAGTTTTCTAATTACGTCCATTTAAGTTGCAGATTATGTTCTACAGTTTGCTTCTTGTTCACCAAAGTTTATTTTTACCTTAGTCAAAAAAAATTATTTTAGTATAAAAGTTGTACATTTTTTTTCAATGCAATTACTTTATTTGTATTCATTTTAGCACGATTTTGAAAGTTTTTATAAATACTACACACATTAAAGATACAAACCATGTATTTACACATTTATTTCACTGAACAATTTAATATTAATAACTTAAATCTTTAAAAGTTCACTTCTTTTTTAAAAAGTTATAAAGAACAAAATACATGTTGATTTTCTAAAATTTATAAATTTTTAGATGGTCCAAAACTTGAAAAATTCTTTTTGAATATCTAAAATTGGAGAAACATTTTGATTTTCTAAAATTGGAGAATACATTTTGATTTTCTAAAATTGGAGAAACATTTTGATTTTCTAAAATTGGAGAAACATTTTGATTTTCTAAAATTGGAGAATACATTTTGATTTTCTAAAATTGAAGAAACATTTTCATTTTCTAAAATTGGAGAATACATTATGATTTTCTAAAATTGGAGAATACATTTTGATTTTCTTAAAATCGAGAATACATTTTGATTTTCTAAAATTGACTTACCTCAGAAGGTAGTTTTAACTGGTCGTGCAAGAAAGTTCTAGAAACAATGGATGGTGAGTTGTTACAGGCTTGCTAGTTGCTAGACTAACACTAACCTGAGGTTCTGAACACATGGGTCATTCAAACTTTCTTTTGGACAACACTTTAAATTTAATATTTCAATACAAAACAAATTAAACAACTATAAATACAAAATAAATGAAATAATTAAAAAGCGAATCATACATAATATGTACTAAGCATTTCATTACAAGTACATACAAGTGCAGATACATTTTTAATTGATTTTTTAACTATTCTTCAACTGATTATGGATTTTATTTATTAGAAGTGAGTTCATTTATTCACACTTTCTTTTAAATTTGGTGGCAAAGTTTTTCCACAGTTCTTTTTTTTTATATTTACTTCTTATTTTTTTTAGTTTGCTTCGTTTTTTTTTTTTTCTTTGTTTTTTTTTTAGGAATAATTATTTTACACCTGTAGATTGATTTGTTTTATTTAGCAATTTTCTCTTTTTTCACTTTTCACCCAATTATTGATTTGATTTTGTTTGGAAATGAAATGGTTTCAGAAAGACGCAGCAGGCAATGTAAGTAAATTCTCTCGCTCAGCCATGCAGTTGTAGGTTAGAAAACAAAGATCTTGTCAGCCAGAGTATTTAGCTGATGTACATTTTTGTTACAGTTTAAGTAGGTGTAACAAATCTTCACTATTGTTTAACCTAAATAATTAGTCATACATGTAGTCCAACAGTTTACAATGGTGTAATTAATCCATTACTAAAAGTTTAGCAATTAGTTCATTGTTAAAAGTCTTCTTAATTTGTCCATTACTAAAAGTTGTGTAATTAGTCCATTGGTAAGAGTTGTGTAAGTTGTAAATCAGCTGAAAGTTGTGCAATTAGTCCATTAGCTAAAAGTTGTGTAATTAGTCCATCAGCTAAAAGCTGTGTAAGTAGTCCATCAGCTAAAAGTTGTGCAATTAGCGCATCAGCTAAAAGTTGTGTATGTAGTCCATCAGCTAAAAGTTGTGTAAGTAGTCCATCAGCTAAAAGTTGTGTAAGTAGTCCATCAGCTAAAAGTTGTGTAAGTAGTCCATCAGCTAAAAGTTGTGTAAGTAGTCCATCAGCTAAAAGTTGTGTAAGTAGTCCATCAGCTAAAAGTTATGTAAGTAGTCCATCAGCTAAAAGTTGTGTAAGTAGTCCATCAGCTAAAAGTTATGTAAGTAGTCCATCAGCTAAAAGCTGTGTAAGTAGTCCATCAGCTAAAAGTTGTGCAATTAGCGCATCAGCTAAAAGTTGTGTATGTAGTCCATCAGCTAAAAGTTGTGTAAGTAGTCCATCAGCTAAAAGTTGTGTAAGTAGTCCATCAGCTAAAAGTTGTGTAAGTAGTCCATCAGCTAAAAGTGGTGTAATTAGTTCATCAGCTAAATTACTCTGAGAAGACGGATCAAACTTGCTTTCATTAGCACTACAATAACAACCAATGCACACAATGATACTGGCGTTCTTTAAAGTGAAAGCTTTTGTTTCTTGATGTTGTATTTTGCACTAATTAACCTAATTAATTACCTTGATATAACAATTAAATAAAAATGTGTTGTGACTCTAAACTTTATCCTCATTTGGTAAGTAAAACTGCATCTGTTTTAACATTGTTGTACTGTCTGTCATGTATTGACCAACAATTTTATTGTATAACTACACTTTGGATTGTTGGACAATTCTTTCTCTCCTGGAATGAATTTGAAAAATAATGTAGAAGTATAATTTTAATTTTAACAAGTGAACATTACTTCTTGACATTATAACCTTAAATAGTTCTAAGTTAATTAAAAAATTATAAAACATTATTTATTATTTTCATTATTTTTTTTTTAAATATAAGATTTACTATTGTATATTTGAAAAATATGACTTTTTTTCCTTTACAAGAGATTTTCAAATCTTGTAATGTAGTACTTTGATATTAGATTTGTCCAAATTTAACATTACTACTTTTGTTCACAGCTGATTACTAATTAGCACAAATTTAATTTTTAAAAGAAGTTGAACTGTCATACTGCTATTAAAAAAGAGAGAATAGATCTACATGTCGTCCAACATTACACATTATTTTAATCTTTAATTCTAATTAACTAGAGGAAATTAATTTTATCAGTAAACATTTAACCTGTAGCCTGACTTACAATAATAAACAGACGTAACTAGGGACCTACTAGACATAACTAGGGACCTACTAGATGTAACTAGGGACCTACTAGATGTAACTAGGTACCTACTAGACGTAACTAGGGACCTACTAGACATAACTAGGGACCTACTACTACTTATGTAGCACAATTGTGTCTGTATTTTAAAACAAATTTATCTACCTCAGGTCCACAGTATAACAGCTCGCAGTGTACCCAAAGAAAAACTGGAGAAACTCCGGGCAGCCAATCAAAAAGTTCCCAACTCCGAAGGGTCACCCAACTTTCTGGACGTACCTGACTCTACACAGTCATCATCCAGCATATCATCCAGCACGTCATCCAGCACATCATCCAGCACTCTGCAGCTGACCCAGCCAGCATCCGCTGTATCCACCACCTCAGTGAGCTTGAAACCACTGGCGCCAGCACACCATCCACCAGACACCACCAGCAACAACTACCTGGATGTGAACCCTGACAAGGAACCCGTGCTCATCTACCCCGACACAGACCCCAACTACATGCAGCGCCATCACCTGCAGGTCAAACCTGACACATCCCTGCCGCAGGCAGCATCAACCAAACCAACACCTGCGCAGGTGTCACCTGTGGCAACACCCATACCGCCACCACGCCACCATAAAGTGACACCCCACAAACTTGAGGAACCTGACACCAAAAAGTCTGGTCCAAGAATCAAAAGTGGCTGCATCTCCGCCAGAGCTGCCTTCTGGGAGAGGAAGATGATAGATGGCGCTTCAGTGGATGATGAGGAGTTCCCAGAAATGGTTGAAGACTAAAACAGCAAGTTTATTTGCAGAAAACTTTTTTGTGAATAGCTTCAACTATACAGCATCCATTTCTTCAGAACCTTTCATCAGTAAAATGGATTTTTAATTTGTTCCACATTTCAGTTTTAGTTTGGAGGAGAGCTAATTTGTTCCGGATTTTAGTTTTAGTTTGGAGGATAGCTTTAAAACCAGGACCAGTCAGGCTATTGAAGATTTTATCCAAACATTTCATTTATTTTCACTCATCTAGTTGTATGCATTTTATTTATTGGCATCTAAGCAAAAATATTGTGTGCAACATATTTTACAATTTTTTTTAAATATTGTAACTTTTTTTTTTTTTAATTTTATCTTTTCTTTGTTCAGGTGTAGTTTACTAAAAAAATGTCTGTTGCTTTACAAAAATATTTTTATATCTTTTTACTTCAATCTTTTTAACTAACTTGGTTGTGATTTCTCTGAAACTGTTGCATTTTGTTGGAGTTGACACCTCTGTTATCCAATCTTTGACAGTTAATGAAACAAAACTGATTAGTGATAAATTGGAACTTGATGTGTCCATATAACATTTTAATATACATTTTAGTTTCACTGACACCATGATTAAATCAAGTTTGTTTTGTTTTTTGGTATAAAGTGTGTCAATCCAAAATGTAATTTCTTTAATTTCAGGTGTTGTCTTAGGTATTAACAAAAATATTTAGAAAATGTAAACTATTTTAATCAATAATTTTGTAAGTTTTTGTGCATTATATTTTCAAGATACATTTCTTAATTTTTGTGAAAACTGTCTTTTGTGTGAACTATCTCTGCTACCGGTAAATTAAAAAGTGCAATATTTGAGTTTTGTCAACAAAGATATAAAAAACAACAAATGTAATCAATTTTACTGAGACTGGTTTAAACATTTCTTAATTAGCTTATTAAGACAGGTACAAAAATAAACCAATTGTTTATTAGCTCATTCAGACAGGTACACAAATAAACATTTCTTAATTAGCTCATTTACACAGGTACAAAAATAAATATTTCTTGATTAGCCAATGATTCCAGAATCACTTATTTTGCTTATTCAATTTCTAATTCATTCTGTTCAAACTCATTTTGTGTCAGCCAAGTATAGTTGTATTGATGAAATAGCTGTGCTTGTCAATGTTTAAGACTATATAGGGCCCATGTTGCCATTGATGTAAAATGTGGTTTCTTTCTCTGGCCTTCGAAGAAATCAACAAATTTAGGTGGGATTCAACAATGAATGGTGGACAAATCTAAAAATTGTGTTAATGATTTCTGTTGGTCTAGAGAACAGGTTAGAGTAAGGATTAAGTTTAACTTGAGTTCACTGATCTGATATATGTATAACATGTACAACATGTACTAACGTTGTATACCATGTACAACATGTACTAACGTTGTATACCATGTACATTTTATTTGCTGGCATGTTGTAACCTGTTGTTGTATCCAATGTTATCAAGGGCCTTGTCCAGCAGTACAAAATAAATCTCTTCCACTCACCTCAGCCTCCATTTTGGTGTGAGTTTGGTCACAAGTCATCTTCCATACTACCTGATGTAAGATACTGAGTTGATATTTATTGTTATTTATTCCTGCAAATATCATACCAGCAAATCTGTATACAAATTGTTTCCCTTACATTATGTATACAAATTGTTTCCCTTACATTTTCACATTCATTTCTCAGCAGATTAGATTATAGCTCATATTTTAATCATTGTAGAACATCTTTGATTGCAAAATATTTCTTATATCACAAAATATCAGTAAATAAACATGCTGTAAATTATTTATGTTGTACTTCATCTGCAATATTGTCTTTTTATAGGTTTTCAATTTGTACATACAAAACTATATTGTTTATACTCATATTTTCATGGCATATGCCCTAAATTAAGTAAAAACAAAACAGCAACCTATTATAACAATTAATTTTTTTACAAGAACCAATTTTTATGCCCATTATTTTGTATGAATAAAATGTTTTTAAAAATACACTTGTACATTTGAAACTGCAATAAAAATCTATCTTTAGACGTGTATCAGGGCATTTAATGGTTTGACTCTACTTGAATGAACTCACTATGCACTTGTATATATTGATATAGGATATTTGTACCATTCCCATTGTATGTCCAAGTGTACAGTTATTGGAATAAACATCTTGAATTGTGTTGATGTTAGCCAATACTGAGTTGTCTTTTATTTACTCTGTCTTATATTTATATATCTCAATATACCAAAGTTCTGTCTAACATAAGGAAGTAACAGCTAGGCCGGCAGATAATTAATCCCAGCCATTGTGTTACCAATACATTTTCATTTCGGTACAAATTTGTATCATCCAAGATGTTCTCTAGCACTTTAATATCACGTGGTCCACGAACCCGTCCTCAATGGAAGTCAAGAAAAGAAAACCAATGGACTAACAGGGGAGACTACCTGTTTTATGGTACAAGGGTAGATAACTTGACAGCACCTTAAACTCAAGGGCCATAACTTGAGCATGTCCCATGTGGCGTACACGTCACGTCCATCAACACCCTCAGTTCCAACCCCCTCCCAGTACCGACCCCCCACCCCCAGTACCGAACTTTCCCGTCATCACCCCCCCCCCCTTCTGTACCGAACGTCCCCACATTGTTGCCATTGTCACCAGCCTCCATCTCTCCCCTAACTGCCTCTTTAGTCCAAAACTAATCACAGGTTCAAATCCAACAAATGCCCCATTAGGGAATACAGAAGTAGGCGTGGGGGGCGCCTGACACATCAGATGCCCTGATAAAACAAGACACGTCCCCCACACCGCCTGACACGACAACTGCCCTACTGCTTCGGCGTAACACCCCCTCCCCGGGGGCACCGGGGCCCAGACAATGCGAGCCCCGTTGACAGACCCCACTGTGATACAATCATAGTGACAGTCAACTTAGTAACACACTAACAAGGTTCTAATTCAGCCCGACCCCATATCACCCACCCCTATGTCCCCCGACCCCCATATCATTACAGCGTTGAACTCTGATTACAGATCGTTATCCCGCGTTCGGACGACTTTCTTGGCCTGCAGAAACTGGCGCGCTAAATCCCGGGGTAACCGATACGACCGCCACCTACACAAAGCCCAGGGGAGATCACTCCCGTATCAAACTTTAAACGGCACAGCAAGCACTATGTAAATTCACGCTGTTGAAACATATTAGCTTACTCTTACAAAACTGACATTAACTTATGTATTGTATAGCCTGTCTAAAGATGACTGGAAAACAAATAAGGGTTGAGAGTAACAAGGGGCAAGCATCCAGACACAAGACGAGTTGTGGGCCTTGCACTGTAAGAGAGAATGCTGAGTCTAATTAAAACGTTATCCAACAATTAGCTTATTATTTCTGGTGTATTGTGTTGGGATATTACATGACAACCGGGTGCTGAGTTAATATAATCAATGAGAAAATAAAGACAGTGTTGGTTTTCACAAAGATGTTACAACATAAAAGTTAAAAGTATATATTTTCTATAATAGGGGGTCGACACGAAACCTGGGGACCCCAATGGTAAGGCCCACACAGTTGTGTATCCAAAGATGAATAACTAAACTGATAAAATTGAAATTAATGCGCCTATTTTTGGTCGGCGTGTGTGTTGATCTGTTGGTCAACGAAGGAGTTTATTTACGACATGTCTGACACGTTTGACTATATTTGTGTGTATGGTTGTTGTTGCGTGTAGGATGTAAGTGATGTAAGTGATGTGTGTCGCCATCACAGTCCTGGTCCTAACGACTGAGCTAACAAATCCATTTGCTGACTTGAGAGTTTTTTTAATACAAAGACGGAATGATAAGGAACAGAGCAAAATAATTTCGTATTCCGTTTGAAAGTTGTGGCTGTTAGTAAATAATTTTAAACACACGACAGAAAAAAAATAATTTCGTATTCCGTTTGAACGGTGTTGCCGTTAGTAAATAACTTTAAATACATGATATATCATGATTGTAACTTGAAAAGGTTGAATTTATTTTTAAAAAATGCTTTTGAGTTTTTAAAAGCATGCAGTAGTTCAGCTATCACACTTTTTTCCAGTCGATCGCATCGATGTACAATATCTGCTCAAGTGTATTGTTGGGATGGGGGGGGGGGGGGGGAATCAACATAGTTCATGCAAGATGTGTCTGTCATAGTTTAACCATTGCTCTAACATTCGTGTAAATTAGAAGGGGGGGGGGGTGAGGGATCAACATAGTTCATGCGAGATGTGTCTGTCATAGTTTAACCATTGCGCTAACATTCGTGTAAATTGTCAGAAAATTGATGCTGGGTTGATGATAACAATTTGCCGAATTTCAGCTCTTTTCTACATGTCCGATCAAGAAGCCTTCAATGTCATTTGTTTTGCAGACGTTTTATTATTTTATTTTAAAGAAATAAAATTACTAGCCCAATGTTCGACCTAAAAAGCCATTTTGTCCAATGCTGTAAAGTGACTAGTGTCAGTTTGTATGCACTCCGTCTTCTCCCTATCTGTCGTTGTCTTGGTCCCTTCCTGCGCCATAAGTGTCCCCCTCCCCCACTCCTGTCCCAATGTTAAATATGTCTGATGGTATCTACCCATCATTTCTTCTGTCTGCCTTTTTTTTTTGTTTGCCCATAGATTCAAAGCTTTTCAAAATCCTATTAACAATAGGCTATGTAAAGCACAAGAGTAAGCAGGTTTATGGATATTACAATATGAAAACTTGCATTCGCCACTGGGTCTACATGGCATACGAACTTAATAAGATGTACCAACAGGATATTGCAAGACTTGAGGGAATAACCAGATCTATAATTGTTTTTAATGATACATTCTTCATGATACATTCTTCAGCTGCTTGTAATTCGCCGACAGCAGGAAAGTCTGAAGATGAATGATGACGATGTTGATGATGATGAAGACAACGAGGAGGAAGAGGATAATAATAATGATGATTGTATTTGTGGCGATGAAAATGATGATAAAAAAATTACTAGGGATTGTTAAAAAAGTGAGATGTTACATATACCATCGTGTATTTTCTTGTATATAAACGAAAACATTGAACAATTAAGTGTAACAGTTGTAATAAAGAGCAGACCTAACTTAGAGCCGTGTTGCATAGCGAAGTATCACCCAACTCCACTCTAAGCCCACTCGAGTTTCATATAAAAATTAACGAGTGCAGTCTGAAGCTCTTTTAACTTTTCATCTTCAAACACAAGAAAGCGCTTATCTTCCGCTTTGTTATGATTTTCTAAAGGGGAGGCAAGTAAAGAACAAGTGGCGGCCCTTGGCTGCCCGTCACTGGCGGCCATATATTATGACAAACAGACAAAAGCAAATAAAAACAAACTTGCGGACAGCACGTCGCCTGGGGCTGGCATCTCCAGACGTCACGTCATTGTTCTACAGCTGGTTTCACCGGCTGGGCTGTAAGATCTGTGGCTATAATTAGCGTTCTGTGTGTCAGGTGACGTCTTGCCAGTGCTGCAGGAATGAGCTGTCGATTTGATTTTAAGATCTCGCGATAGAACGAATGTAAAACAAGAACTCGTTTGGCTCAACTTTCTCTGGAACGTAAAAATTGTTTGATTGTTCATGTTGATCAAAGGAGTTTGTCGGCTCGTTAATTATGTTTATCGTTAGTGTTCATCAGTTTACTTTTTAATGATCGTTCACTGTTTGGCTGGGGGGGAGGGGAGGGGGTGATTTACTTGTGTAGCATCATGGCTGTTGCGTCTTAGGGGTGTAGTGTCAAAGGGGTGTAGTGTCAAAAAGGTGTAGTGTCAAAGGGGCGTAGTGTCAAAGGGGCGTAGTGTCAAAGGGGTGTAGTGTCAAAAAGGTGTAGTGTCAAAAAGGTGTAGTGTCAAAGGGGCGTAGTGTCAAAGGGGCGTAGTGTCAAAGGGGTGTAGTGTCAAAAAGGTGTAGTGTCAAAGGGGCGTAGTGTCAAAGGGGCGTAGTGTCAAAGGGGCGTAGTGTCAAAGGGGCGTAGTGTCAAAGGGGCGTAGTGTCAAAGGGGCGTAGTGTCAAAGGGGCGTAGTGTCAAAGGGGTGTAGTGTCCTGGGGGTGTTGTGTCATGGGGGTGTGGTACCGTATGTGTATAGCGTCTAAGTGAACTAGCTTTTTTTTAGGGTGCAGTGCCTATAAAAAAAAAACACTGTTAGAGTGTACCAATAGACAGACCGGGGTCACTGCTAGAGTGTACCAATAGACAGTCCGGAGTCATTGCTAGAGTGTACCAATAGACAGACCGGAGTCACTGCTAGAGTGTACCCCCTAGACATTCGATGATCCCCCAAACTGACGTAAAACCCTGACCTGACCTGACATAACACGTGACCTCTCCAGTTTCCAGAACCAGTAGTCAATGACGCTGATCTTAATGAAAGCCGATCAGAACCTGATGCGGCCTCTGAGTGAAAGTCAACATATGTGGTCTAGATGGGGTCAAGTTGTCCGGGTACTCCGCATAAAATGATGTCATTCTTCTCATATAACAGCTCTTACCCACTTGAGCTAACTATCGAACATTGAGTCTATTTATAGATACTTTGTCATGTCGTCTACACGTTGAACGGGAAAAAAGTCACACAGGGAAAATTTTCTGAATATTTTATACATAAAAGTATTACAAATTCCATGAAAATACACATTTGCGAAATTTTTCCTGTGACTTTTTTCCTGTGACTTTTGTTTTGTTTTATTTTCTGCGTTTTTTTTTTTTCCGTTGACTTTTTACTTTCTTGTATACAGAGTATAGAGGAAGCATGGTAATCGTACACAAAAATCATATGAAATTTTGAGTTTTCATCGTTTTACACCTCAGTACTTCATCATATACGGAGTATAGGGGACTTATTTTTATCGAGCAAAAATAATAAATGCAGATTTATCAAAAATTTCAGCGTTCTATGCGTAATCGAGTCGGAAAAACTGGGCTTTGTAATTCTGTCCCAGTGTCTGTGTGTGAATGTCTGTGAACACGAAAACAGCTAGGTTGATGAAATTTCATATACAAGTATTATATCAAACTTGTAGTTCTGTATCAACTTTTCAGCGATTTCCGGTAACCGGAAGTGAAACTTATTCTACTTTTGTTTTTCCAAAAGCATATAACTTGATTACTGTTTTAGATAGATAACCAAAATTTCACATGTCAGTAAACGTTCTAATTCTCTGCATTCTTTCAAATTTTGAGTAATTTCCGTTAACCGAAAGTAGCAATTTACGCAATTTCTAAAAAAAAAACGAATGTGAACTTATCAATTACTAATAATATTCCGCGCTATTATACACAGATTGTTTGGCGTTCACTTCTTTTTTTTTCGAGATTCTATTCTATTTTTTAAAGTTTAAGTAATTAATAAACCGGGAGTGATCTCCCCTAAACTTTCTCGAATATTCATATATAACAATAGGCCTACGGGGTATGGCAACTCGGGATATAGACATGATTTTTAATCCATTTTTTTTTAATTACGTAAACTAGATGGCCACACAGGTGAACTAGATGGCCACACAGGTGAACTAGATGGCCACACAGGTGAACTAGATGGCCACACAGGTGAACTAGATGGCCACACAGGTGAACTAGATGGCCACACAGGTGAACTAGATGGCCACACAGGTGAACTAGATGGCCACACAGGTGAACTAGATGGCCACACAGATGAACTAGATGGCCACATATATATAATTTGAGCTCTATGGACACACGTTTGATCTCGCTTGACCCATTGTCTCGTGTGTCCCTCCACTGGACATTGAACCTGTGCTGATGGACATGACTGAGCCTGTACTGATGGACATGACTGAGCCTGTGACCGGACAAGACTGAGCCTGTGACCGGACATGACTGAGCCTGTGACCGGACATGACTGAGCCTGTGACCGGACATGACTGAGCCTGTGACCGGACATGGCTGAGCCTGTGACCGGACATGACTGAGCCTGTGACCGGACAAGACTGAGCCTGTGACCGGACATGACTGAGCCTGTGACCGGACAAGACTGAGCCTGTGACCGGACATGACTGAGCCTGTGACCGGACATGACTGAGCCTGTGACCGGACATGACTGAGCCTGTGACCGGACATGGCTGAGCCTGTAGCCGGACATGACTGAGCCTGTGACCGGACATGACTGAGCCTGTGACCGGACATGACTGTGCCTGTACCGGATGGACCGGACATGACTGAGCCTGTACTGATGGACCGGACATGACTTACTACTTTACTAACTGTACGCCAAACAAACAGACTTGAATGAACCAGAAGTAGATGTCAATAATGACCGCCCATCTATCAATAGCCCAGCCCACCCCCTGACCCCCACCCTCTGACCCCCACCCTCTGACCCCCACCCTCTGACCCCCGGCTAAGACAGCTGTTAAGACAGCATGGCCAAACAACCAGCGATTATCTCTTTGTCGTGGCCGGATCGAGTCAACACGGGCAGGAGCCGGATGATGATTCGCCGGCCCGTCACAGATACGCCGGGGCGGCGAACGGGCCTGGCTGGCGACGGGCTGGCCCCGGCAGACGACGCTACACGTCGCGCGCTGGTCGCGGGGACGACATGGCAGCCTCGCTGTCTGCTTCACCGTCTGACATTTTTATTGCAAGGAAACAGAGTGGAGTTGTTGTAATACAGAGTGGAGTTGTTGTAATACAGGGTGGAGTTGTTGGAATACAGGGTGAAGTTGTTGTAATACAGAGTGGAGTTGTTGTACAGAGTGGAGTTGTGATACAGGGTGGAGTTGTTGTGATACAGAGTAGTGGAGTTGTAATACAGAGTGGAGTTGTTGGAATACAGAGTGGAGCTGTTATAATACAGGGTGGAGTTGTTGTAATACAGGGTGGAGTTGTTATAATACAGGGTGGAGTTGTTGTAATACAGGGTGGAGTTGTTGTAATACCGAGAGGAGTTGTTATAATACAGAGTGGAGTTGTTGTAATACAGAGTGGAGTTGTTGTAATACAGAGTGGAGTTGTTGTAATACAGAGTGGAGTTATTATATCAAAGAGTGGAGTTGTTGTAATACAGAGTGGAGTTGTTATAATACAGAGTGGAGCTGTTGTAATACAGAGTGGAGTAGTTATAATACAGAGTGGAGTTGTTGAAATACAGAGTGGAGTTGTTGTGATACAGAGTGGAGTTGTTGGAATACAGAGTGGAGTTGTTGTAATACAGGGTGGAGTTGTTGGAATACAGAGTGGAGCTGTTGTGATACAGAGTGGAGTTGTTGGAATACAGAGTGGAGTTGTTGTAATACAGGGTGGAGTTGTTGTAATACAGAGTGGAGTTGTTGGAATACAGAGTGGAGTTGTTGTGATACAGAGTGGAGTTGTTGTGATACAGAGTGGAGTTGTTGGAATACAGAGTGGAGTTGTTGGAATACAGAGTGGATGTGTTGTAATACAGAGTGGAGTTGTTGTGATACAGAGTGAAGTTGTTATAATACAGAGTGGAGTTGTTGGAATACAGAGTGGAGTTGTTGTAATACAGGGTGGAGTTGTTGTAATACAGAGCGGAGTTGTTGTGATACAGAGTGGAGTTGTTGTAATACAGAGTGGAGTTGTTGGAATACAGAGTGGAGTTGTTGTAATACAGGGTGGAGTTGTTGTAATACAGAGTGGAGTTGTTGTAATACAGGGTGGAGTTGTTGTAATACAGAGCGGAGTTGTTGTGATACAGAGTGGAGTTGTTGTAATACAGGGTGGAGTTGTTGTAATACAGAGTAGTGGAGTTGTAATACAGAGTGGAGCTGTTATACCTCACAAATACAGAGTAGAGTTGTTGGAATACAGAGTGGATGTGTTGTAATACAGAGTGGAGTTGTTGTGATACAGAGTGAAGTTGTTATAATACAGAGTGGAGTTGTTGGAATACAGAGTGGAGTTGTTGTAATACAGGGTGGAGTTGTTGTAATACAGAGCGGAGTTGTTGTGATACAGAGTGGAGTTGTTGTAATACAGGGTGGAGTTGTTGTAATACAGAGTAGTGGAGTTGTAATACAGAGTGGAGCTGTTATACCTCACAAATACAGAGTAGAGCTGTTGTAATACAGAGTGGAGCTGTTATACCTCACAAATACAGAGTAGAGCTGTTGTAATACAGAGTGGAGTTGTTGTAATACAGAGTGAAGCTGCTGTAATACAGAGTGAAGCTATTATACCACACAAACACAGAGTAGAGTTGTTGTAATACAGAGTGGAGTTGTTGTATCAGAGAGTGTTGTTATAACACAGAGTGGACCTGTTTTAACACAAAAATAATGAGCCTATTTGTCGCGAGTCCTAACGTCGGAAGCTATTTTGTCGGAGGCCTTATTGACAGCAGCCATTTAGTCAGGAGCCAATGTGACGGGGAATTCATTTAATTTTGTCGCTGGCCCTTTTGACGGGGGTCAATTTGACGGGGCCGTTTTGTGGCGGGCCATTTTGACGCCGCACGCATGTAACCTTTTTTCAACAAAGAATAATCGAGTTGCGGCACTTGTCAATGTATACCAGTTGTTCAACAATAATCAATGATACGGTTGATTACACGCAGACAATTGTAGCAGTAAACGTCGCTCACCGGGGTGGTGGCACATTATATTGAGTGTAGGAAAGGAAAGTCAGAGGGGAAAAGTCGCAGGAAAAAAACACAGAAAAAAAATCACAGGAAAAATTCACAAATGTGTATTTGCATTGAATTTGTAAATAGGGACCTACTTGTATGTATTAAAGATGCAGGACTTGCAAATCAACTTGCGATTAAGTAAATATTTTAATTTAGATATATGTGCGTAGGGTGTAGGCCCTATTCGTATGATAATATTTATAACACACTTAAAAATATTTAGTCTGAAGTGTGTAGGTTTTAATACCATTGTACAATTAAGTAGAATTGAAAAGAATGTTCCAACCTACTCAGTTTTTTATCGTGTTTTTAAATACTAATTTTGAATTAGCACAGAAAGGGAAAAAGACATGGTTTTTATGAATTGCTGTCCTCAACTCAACGCAAGGATAGTTTAACAACATTTATTGTCCACACGTTTCACGCTCATTACATAACTAAACATAGGACGGACAAGACCTAACGTCAAAAAACTTAAAGCAAAAAACGCTAAAAACACAATGTTTTGCCTATATTTCTTTTACAATTTATTTTTCTACTGGGGAGTCAAACAAATCTGTAACAAAAGTTAAGGCTTCTGTGTTTATTATTGTACAGTATTTTTACTTATTAAGAAGATAAAATTATTATTATAAACCACAACGTTTTTAAGTTTTTTAATGTTACTAAAAAAAACATCACCCACATTATAAACACCCACAATTTGACACTTTTTCACAAGTAAATAAAGCATTTCTTACAACATTTTTTTTTACTTTTCTGTGACTTTTTTCCGATTTAAAATTTCCCTTTCTGACTGTGTTTCTTTTTTTTTTTTCAAGCGCAAATTGTGACTTTTGTTCTGTGTTTTCTTTCCTGTGACTTTTTCCGTTTTTTTCCTGTGACTTTTTCCGTGTTTTTTTCCTCTGACTTTTTCTGTGTTTTTTCCTGTGACATTTTCCGTGTTTTTTTCCTGAGACTTTTTCTGTGTTTTTTCCTGTGACTTTTTCCTTGTTTTTTCTCTGTGACTTTTTCTGTGTTTTTTCCTGTGACTTTTTCCGTGTTTTTTTCCTGTGACTTTTTCTGTGTTTTTTCCTGTGACTTTTTCCGTGTTTTTGTTCCTGTGACTTTTTCTGTGTTTTTTTCTGTGATTTTTTTCTCCTCACTATTCTAATAGTCCAACGGAATGAATATTTTTTTGAGTCAGTTGGATTGTTTTTTCTGTCATTTCTTACATTTCTAGAATTTGGACATGGTATGATGGTTTACTTAACTACAGAGGCGTAGCGAGGGGGGGGGGGGGGAGGGGCGGGGGGACGGGACATATGATCCCGGGCGCCGACCTTAGGGGGGGGGGCGCCAAAATGAGTTGGAAAAACAAATTGAAAGTTTGAAGGGGGGAGGGCAAATGAAAAGTTCGAGGGGGGGGGGTGCAAATCGAAAGTTTGTCTCCGGGAAGGGTCGCTACACATCTGCTAACTAATTAGTTTTGTATTATGGTTTACTTAACTAATTAGTTTTGTATTATGGTTTACTTAACTAATTAGTTTTGTATTATGGTTTACTTAACTAATTAGTTTTGTATTATGGTTTACTTAACTAATTAGTTTTGTATTATGATTAACTTAACTAATTGGTTTTGTATTATGGTTTACTTAACTAATTAGTTTTGTATTATGATTAACTTAACGAATTGGTTTTGTATTATGGTTTACTTAACTAATTAGTTTTGTATTATGATTAACTTAACTAATTGGTTTTGTATTATGGTTTACTTAACTAATTAGTTTTGTATTATGGTTTACTTAACTAATTAGTTTTGTATTATGGTTTACTTAACTAATTAGTTTTGTATTATGGTTTACTTAACTAATTAGTTTTGTATTATGGTTTACTTAACTAATTAGTTTTGTATTATGATTAACTTAACTAATTGGTTTTGTATTATGGTTTACTTAACTAATTAGTTTTGTATTATGATTAACTTAACTAATTGGTTTTGTATTATGGTTTACTTAACTAATTAGTTTTGTATTATGGTTTACTTAACTAATTAGTTTGTATTATGGTTTACTTAACTAATTAGTTTTGTATTATGGTTTACTTAACTAATTAGTTTTGTATTATGGTTTACTTAACTAATTAGTTTTGTATTATGGTTTACTTAACTAATTAGTTTTGTATTATGATTAACTTAACTAATTGGTTTTGTATTATGGTTTACTTAACTAATTAGTTTTGTATTATGGTTTACTTAACTAATTAGTTTTGTATTATGGTTTACTTAACTAATTAGTTTTGTATTATGGTTTACTTAACTAATTAGTTTTGTATTATGATTAACTTAACTAATTGGTTTTGTATTATGATTAACTTAACTAATTGGTTTTGTATTATGGTTTACTTAACTAATTAGTTTTGTATTATGATTAACTTAACTAATTGGTTTTGTATTATGGTTTACTTAACTAATTAGTTTTGTATTATGATTAACTTAACTAATTGGTTTTGTATTATGGTTTACTTAACTAATTAGTTTTGTATTATGGTTTACTTAACTAATTAGTTTTGTATTATGGTTTACTTAACTAATTAGTTTTGTATTATGATTAACTT